TATTTAGGCGTTATGGTGATCTAACGGAAGAGCTTCAGTTAGATATTTTATCTAGGAATTTTTCACCATTGTATACTACCCAGTTGTTCGTACCTAGGAAGAACTTGCTCTCGAATGTCTTAAGCTTGAGGTTAAGAAATATAGAGTTGATAATTATGTACCTCCATCTCGAAAGCGTCAACAGTTTGTTGAGCCCGACTTTGCATTCGTAGAAAGGAAAAGTCCACATCCTTCTATCACTAGCGGACCTGAGAATGCAAATGAAGTTGCTGAAATCAGTGGGCTCTGCTTTAGTTTCAGAATGAGATTGCTATACGAGGTTATCCTCAGGCCCGATGAGGATGACGCAATGCCACTTTATCTGGTCGCCCAACATCAGATCAGTTTCAACATTGGAAGTATTGCCAGTGTATCCATTGCTCTTCACTTGCTCGTTCTTGGCATGATCTACTGGAGTTCGTTTAGGTTTGGAGTTTTTTTTGGGTGGGAATTTTTGTGTGAGTTTGGATATCCTTTTTGATTAAGTATAGTCAGCCAGGTTATTGGTAGTTCAGCATTATTTATTATCGTCGGTTATCTACTCAGTAGATACCTTCCTACTCCAAGGAGTGGGTGGATTGTCACGTGCCAAAATCACGTAACCCTTTTTTACTATTTTGAACCCTTAATAGTAATTTGAATTTCTCTTTATTAATGGTAGAGTGCCCATTCCTATGACAAACCCTTTTCAATGTTTTTTTTGGTAAATTTCATAGTTTACTGATTGTATAATTTCACACGTATCATATCTTTCTTTCTTGGTACTGTGTTGAAAAAAAACCTTGGGAGGAAGACGTGGCTTCCGGCAATATCAGCTACAAAACAGCTATACAGATGGAGGAGTGTGTGGTGGTTCTCCGCAATGCCTTCCCACTGAAAGGAAGCAGATATTGAACAAACTTCTTCAGGACATTCAAAAAACCGACCGCTGAAGAAAGAAAAGAAGATATGTTCGATAGGATACCAAATAACGGAGAAAAACCACAATGTTCTTTTTTCAATACAATAGTGAATCACTGAGGAAGAACATACAATGTGTGAAATTATGAAATTAATAAACTATGAAATATACCAAAGGAAAATGATTGAACAGGGTTTTTCCTAGGAACGGGCACTCTACCATTAATAAAGAGAAATTCTAATTACTAGTAAGTGATCAAAATAGTAAAAAAGGTTACGTGACTTTGGCACGTGACAAGGACAACACAAATAAGTCATCAGTTATGATTTTCTCGAAGCAAATATCGCTGATTAAATACACATGCAGGCTAATACGCATAATCACCACAAAATCATCCAGTTGCGATCTTGCTACTCGCTAAAAACTAATCTTATTTTCTTCCTACCTCAGATATACATATACCATGTGAGCGCAAGAGCGGAATAAGCTATTTGCACACTAGGAGCTATCTAGTCAGGAAGTTGACATTTTGTCGGTATTTTTGACATTATATAGGTTTTCTAAGTAATAACCCTGCCGCACTCTTATATGCGTACGTACGTAGTTGCAAAATAACATAGCGATCTGATCGCCATAATTGTCACTTAAGAAACTATCTGTCATTAAGTTCGTATCCACTTGTAGCGGCTGAGTTGCCTAAAAGTCGATATGCTTAACATATGTGCTGTAACTCTAATGTCATGTGACATCTTTTTCAGAGGTGGCACTAGCGGTAGCCATTCACAGCTTCTAGGCTTAAGCTGTATGTTGTATTATATTGCCGGAACAACGGTTGTTGCGCTTGCCTAGCGACTAGCTAGTACACAAGTGATAAGTATCAGGATCGAGACCTGATTCCATTTGGCGGCGACAGCTGAGAGTCACCAGAACAATGACATCATCAAATTTCATTGTTGAAACTTTTACTGAAGTATTTGTTAATCACTGTTGGTAGATAATAAATTCTGCTTATTTGTATGTTGGCATTTACGATACTGGGCATTGTGACCGAGCTATCAGTGTCATCCTGTCATCAGTTATGGTTTGTATCGTTTTCCACTGACAGAACTACCGAATGAATATCGATGGTTTTCAGAAAACATCATTTGGTTGAGGAGATGAAGGCAAATGTGCAGTAATTTTAAGGTAAGATGAATAATTGGAATGAGCCATCCTGAATAATTTGATGGCATTTCTGTACTCATACCTTAGACGAATTTTTACGTGGGGCAGGGCATCATTAATAGTCGTTTCACAGAGTATTTTTACTCAAAAATATACTGTTAGAATAATCATTATGATAGAAATTACTTGTAACGATTTCAACCGTAAACATAGACATTCTAGAACATTGCGTCCATAGTGAAGTGTTGCCATATTTATTCTATCATTATAATTATAGTTCGTTGAGTGATTAAAGGTTTGTGAATACTTGAAGTTGATGTATCTATAGAGGTGGTACGAAGCTTAAATTTGCTTAGTCGAAGTTAAATACAAAATGCAGCCTGTCATATAGGAAAATTCCATTCCATGCAACCACATTGCGACATCGGTATTCATAAATCAATTGTGTATCATCTGAAGTGCGATAATGAAATTTGAGGATACATTTGCAAAATATATAGCGCAGGAACTTTACGTCACAATACTTTTGAATAATAGTCCTCTCGTCTAGGTACAAAGGCAGGTTTGATACTTTGTTAGTGTAGTTTAATATGTATTTATGGACTTACTGGCATATTCAGCGGGTGGGGGCCTTGGGGCATGAGTTCCCCCAGAACCCTATGGCTTATTACAATTTTCTTTCTATAGTAGAGTATGCTATACCTTCTGGAAATGGAATCCACCACCGCGCTTTGGTTGCCGCAAGGGCATCCACTCTTAGAACCACTGATGAAGCAGGCGCACCCAATCCCCCGTCCGCTGCTCATTTGTAACAAGGACATTCAGTTCTAAAGGTACTGATCCAGAAAACCCCCTGCTCTACAATTTTAATCATTGATACTATCCCCACTCTTCAAATGTCATAAGGATACTTCACCTCAGAAGCACTGATGCAGCAGATGACGTAGCTCCCCCACCCTTCGTTCTCCAATTTCCAGCCGATACGAAGGCTAGTTTCCTGGTTTCTTCCTGCTTCTGGATACGATATGGACCTACCGAGGTGGGGGACGAACAATTCCAAAATAACATACATATGTACAGACTTAAGAAGCAAAAAACTACGTTATGCCAGTGCCTAACTCTAGAGACATGTTACCATACCGTTTAGATTTGCGTTTTACTTATAAATCCTAAAATCCGTAGTTTAGCTGATAAACTCGTAAGTCTGGCAACACTGATAATACAATGACGTCATAGCCTGGCGAATAGTGGAAAATTGTATTCTACTGTTGAATTGTGGTTGAAATTACCATGGCGAGTTCGAAACTGGGACAAAGTCTATCTATTGGACCAATTGGAATTAGCTTATTCTGACGTCATACTCGGCTACCGTTGAAATTGGTGGCAACTCCATCACGCTGGTTGTAATTTCCATTTTGGCCGCTACACAGGTATTTCTGAGAAAGAAGAGAAATATATCAACATTCATTTTTTATTTTAACGAATTAAATCACACTAAGGGCGTACGAAGACAAAAAAGTCTAGGAAAAATATAGCATAAAGAGACTTTCACAAGATTGTAATTCAGCAGACAGATTTAAGAATTAACAAAGACTGCTTATAGAATGTTATAGAATGCAAAATTAAGTCTTGATATCTTTACTGGAAGAGCAAAAACCATTATGCTATCACCCAGCCATTAGCCGTTCAGTCTTTGAGCTTAAAATCAATTATTGGCTCTAAATCTTATCATAGACTTACACATATTAAATATAATATATATATATATATATATATATATATATATATATATATATATATATATTTACGTTTCCAGGAACACAAGAATCGGTGGCAGAAACTCTCTGCGGCAGTAATTTTAGCGGATTGTACAAATATGTAATTATTTAATTAAATGCATATCACATTCATACGAGTTTTAATTTAACAGAAATGTAGTATTTGAATTATGTAATATATCTTCTGTGATATATATTGTGCTTGCCTCACTGATTGGTACTTGATAAAACCACTGATAATAAACATGAGGCTAATGACATTTCGGTTTCACAAGGCTTCATAGTACGGAGGTGAACTGTGTTAAATGTTTCTTTTAAGAAAATTTAATATAGACTTAGCCAATTACTTCAATATAAGAAATCATTCAATACACACCTTGTTCCTAGAATAAGAATTGCTATTTAGAATCTTTCCTGCTGAATGGTGGAATCTGTATTCTTATAATTTGTGGAGATTCTATGCACGTTCATAAATTTATATAGATATACATACACAGTGAATCTTTAGTGTATTATCAGTCGATAGCTCCGCATTTTAAAAGCTCTTTGAAGTTATTTACAAAAATTATAGAAAACTATACTCTGCTTTCTTGGGAAATATGCCGCTCAAACACATTTTAAAATGGAACACAAAATCAAAAATTAATGAAATGACAAGAAACTCTGACCAAAAATATGACCATCTATATGTAGTTGGGAAAATACCTTTTAATAATTGGGTTTATGTTAGAAAATTTGATTTGTGGTTATGTATTTTGACCTGCTTTGACATTTTGTCAGAATCGATCGAAATTGGGTCAGCAAAATGTTAACAAGCTTTTATAGGAGATAGGGCAACAATCTGCAATCGAATATATCTCGAATTGGGGACATGTATTAAGATTTCAGAAAAATAGGTTTTATAATAGGCAAAATTCTACAAACACTAATGTACAACATGAGGAAGTGAGCTACGTGATACATTAACACTTTAACTACTATGTGTACAAAAAATGATACACATCTAACTTTTATGGATAAACTATGTGCCCATATGTGGTCACAGGCATCGGCTAGGTTTGATCCGTTATGTACGTTATGTGGTCACGCTTATCATTGAAATGAATGCATGTTCTATATAGTATAGTTTATGATGAAAGATTGGCCAAATAGTTTTACCCTTAATTCATAGATGGAAGCGCCAAGCTGTATAGTAATTTAGTCGTAACGTGTACGTATTGTTTACACGTTTTGGTCGTATGTCGTAGTTGTTTCTTCTGCTCATCGTAAGCTCGGTTGCGTTCTTGAATGCAAAATGAGTGATAGGGATTTAACCGATAAGGAGTTGGAGGGAATAATTAATAATATGAGCGATTGTGAATACGAATCGGACGTCGATGACTCAGTGGGTGATCCAGACTTCGAGAATTTCAGTTCATCAGAAAGTACCGATAGTGAATTCGATGCTGGCACTGCAAGAAAAAGAAAGAAGCTAGAAATTTGTGTGGTAGCAAATGCAAATGTCGGGGCTATAGACACTCCTGTTGACAGTGAAGTGAATTTGTCTGAAAGCAGCGAGAGTAGCTCAGCAGCCCCAACAGAGATGTAAGTGGATCACATGAAGTTCGAGTTATCTGGAATGATTGTTCAGGTAAAATAAAGTAAATTAGGATTTATTGCGACGCTACAAAGTATTTTTCTCTTCAGGAAATTTGAAGGATCATCCGTTCAATGCCAACCCAGGATTCTCTGCAGAGTTTTTTGCGAAAAGAAGCGGAGATGAGCCTTTAGACTTTTATAAGCTTTTCTTGGCCGATATCATACCTATGATAGTTCAAGAAACAAACCGCTATGCGACGCAAAAAATTATATCATGCATAGCAAATGAAACTATCCAAAAAAATTCACTATTAACTCACTGGAAAGATACTAATGAGTCTGAAATAGTAGCATTCATAGGAATGCTAATTTGGATGGGACTAGACAAAAAGCTGACACTGAAAGATTACTTTTCGCGCAATATACTATACAAAAATGATTTGGGAAAATACATTGGAATGTCAAGAATGCGGTTTGAATTGCTTCTATCAAATTTGCATTTTTCAGATAATGAGACAACAGATCGTACGAATCGCATATACAAAATTCAACCATTAGCAGACGGTCTCATTACTAATTTTCAAGCTGCATGTATTCCCAAAAAAGACGTATGTATTGACGAAACAATGATTCCATTCAGAGGCCGACTTCGCTTTCGTCAATACATACCGGGTAAACGACATAAATACGGAGTAAAAATTTTCAAACTGTGTGCGGAGAAAGGTTATACATACAACTTAAAAGTATATTCAGGCAAGGAGGACAACCCGACTTCACAGTCAGTTGCTAGTCGCGTAGTTCTCGAACTTATGGAGCCTCTCTTAGATTGCGGATGTCTACTATGCACAGACAACTTTTATACTAGCGTTAGCCTCGCACACGAACTTTTGGACTTTGGGACTCTGAGAAAAAATAGGAAATTTAATCCAAAGCCAATTACAGATGCAAAACTGGAAAAAGGGGACTTGATTGTACGTGAGAGTAATACCCATGTGATAGTGGGAAAATGGAGAGACAAAAGAGAGGTCTTATTTTGACGACCGAAGCAGTGCCTGAAATGACTGACGTACAAACAAAACGAGGTGTTGTAAAAGAACCATCTACTATTGCAAAGTATAATAGTATCAAGTCTTTTATAGATGTGTCTGACCAAAAGGCTTCCTACTCGACTACTGTTCGACGCGGAATAAAATGGTATAGAAAGGTGGCCATAGAAATACTCACAAATACTGCAGTTGTGAATGCTCACATAGCATATCAATTTTTTACTAAAAAAACTATAAATATAACCAAGTTCAGGGAGGAGCTTGTAAACAAACTTTTCAATGAGAGGCATAATATTATAGATATTCCATCTGAAGGGATCTCTAGGAATCACAAAATCATCGAGATAACATCAAGGGGTAGATGTACGAGATGTTACAAAGCTAATAGTGAAAGAAATGGTCGAGCCTATGCAATGGCAAACACTCCTAGGATTAAAATGCATTGTCAGGGGTGTGAACACAAATTTTTAATTATGAAGTGCTTTTTCGACACTCACAACTGCAGTTTACGTAAATGAGAAATGTGGTCATGCATGATATACATACTTTAAGGTGATCAAGCTGTATTTTTTTTTATATAGACTGTGTGTACTGTACCTGGACACAGTCAAAAAAATATTTTTTTGTGGAAAAACTTGTTGTTTTCATTCTGTTTGTATACTTAAATATATCAAAATATATTTTTTTGAGAAAAAGTGTACCAGTTTCTGTTGAGTCATGTATCACCAGCATGCGTAGTAGTCAAAGTGTTAAACAGTATTTTATGAAATAGAACAAATAAATACTTTACATATGCGAAAAGCCTTTCATCCACTGTAAACATTCACAGATCATCCTCAAAACTAGTTGATGATCTATTTTTTCTTACTTTTTGTCGGGCTTATACCTTTTCTTAGCTTGAACAATGGGGAAGCAATATGATTATTGGATGTTTCGATGAGAATAAGCTTTATTATTCCTCAAAACTTCAGGTGGTTGCGTCCATGATCTCGCCAGGAAGGATAATTAATCCAATAATTCCAAAATCGTTCGGGAATACAGAATGGATTTTGGTTATCTCTCAACATCCTACGGCACACACGAGGGCTCCGACGATCATCCTCTTCTTGCAGTTCATGAACTATTCGGTATTGGACGAAAGCGTAGGCCGTTATGTTAAATCAAAACGACTGTTCAACGAAAACCACACAGAAACACTACCATTTGACAACAAAACATCATCTACAAATTAGGACAGTCGCTATCATAATTTCGACCGTCTGGCGACTGAAATTTATTGCAAGCAGTCGCCAAAGTATGACGTCACTCATATGCTCCGCCCTCAGAATTTCGACTTTGCCATGATAATTTCAATGTGGCTTCATTTAGAATCAGGTCCCCGATCGCCATTGTTTTACATAATATGGGAGTTGTTTGGATAGAGGCATGACGAGTTATAACTAATCATTAATGGTTTTCCTCCTATTTTCAAGTATTCCAAGATACGAAGTTTTCTGTTGTAGGTGCTTCATCCAAAGCCATGTGCCTTAAATATGCGAACCCTGTCTCAGTGAAGTTGGCCCATCTATCACAACTACGTTTTTTATGAAATTTGTCATATTAGCGGAAACGTATTAAGTAAAATGTATTTCTGCTAACATACATGGCTTTAATTGAATATGAGCCTGAAGTACTACATTTTTTTGTAACAAAGAAAAAACATCTTACAAATTCAAAAAGAACTGCCTATAAATAAAAAACAAAGAAACCAATTGTTTTAAATCCCACTTTTTGGGAGCTCTGTGACAGGTTGCACTTGAAAGCTTTTTGTGGTTGCCTGATTCCATAATATTTTCAATTCGTTATAACTAGCAGGCTGACGACTTTTTGAGCCACAGATCCCGTTTCTTTTGTACAATTTAATAATATTTCGAACTGTATACCTACCTCGATCTGTAAACACTCTCAGCGATTTGAGAAGCGTTCTGGCGTTTTAAATGCAAGCGAATGATCACTATTTTTATTTCGTCAGATACAGCTCCATCACGAGCCATTTTTAAATGTTAACAACACCAATGCATTGAAAGTTGATTTAACCGTCAAAAAATCAGCTTCTTAGCAACGTAAAATGTTATCATTTGTTTTACAAAAGCTACCTTTATTTTATCGAAGGGAATAAACAGACCACTCAACTTATGTTGTCTCGGTCATGTATTTTGCTATACACAATTGAAGAAGGCAATTTCAAATTAAAAACGCTATAAAAACAGCCGGGTCTGTTTTGTTATCCTTCCATAAACATTTAACGAAACGAAAAATATTATATTGGAGTAAAAATTTAATTAGTTACCAAATAAATTCAAAAGTACCATGTTTTGGGGTGTTGGGCCAACTTCACTGAGACAGGGCTCGTATTTTGCTTCAAGACGGTGTACATACATCTAACAAGATAACACTATTCTGCAGAAAACATACAGCTGTATGCGATAAAAATATTCCTTTTGTCGGTTTGCCGGCAAAGTTCGAAGCATGAAATTAACTGATACCCTCACCTTCTGTTGAACATAAAAGTAATGCGATTTTAATAAATCATCACTCAAACATTTTCTACGGTCATTACAACGCCCGACAGGAGGAAGTGAGAAGTGGAATATCTTATTATGGGATAAGGCTCGTTGTTACATTTTCATAACAGTACATGGAAAAAACGGAATCGTATGCAGCGCTAACGCATTTGTAATTTATAATTGCTGTTATATAACAATGCGTGTAATCGTAATGAAAGGCTATCAGTGAAGGCGGCTGCTTGAGAGCCGCCTCTAGCAACTCCGATCTCATAATGAGATGAATCCGTATGTTCGATACATAGCTCAGATTATTCGTATGAGACAGATAACTACATGATCAAACGAACTTACCTGTAAGTGATCTTCGATCTCAATTATGTGAAGTCCTCGTCAAAGTGAAAACTTAGAATACATAACGTAGTAACCTCGTAGCTCTCCAAACCCACGATTTCAAAGCGCGCACGCAGCAAAGAAAAGCGGCACCGCGCCCCCCCTACCTTTCTCCTCTCTGGCCGGCTATAAACACTCATTTTCCTCAATGTCAAAATGTTGTAACAAAGGGTAGATACATAGGGAGGAAGGGAGCTGTTTATTTCGACGAGGACTTCACATAATTAAGATCGAAAGTCACTTACAGGTAAGTTTGTTTCATCATGTAATTATGTTCCGTCCTTTTCGAAGTAAATATTTAGAATACATAACGTAGATGTTCAAAGCTAGTTGCAACAACATACTACTAACGCTCTGCAATAGTAAACGATACGCTGTACACAACTACACAAATTGTACGCAATGTAGCTATGTTTAAATGAGGTGAAGAGATTTGTGATATGTCAAAACGCACTCCAACCCGCCGCGAGCCTGAGACTACTATATTTTAGCCGACGCAGAGGTAGACGCATTTCTTGTACTGTGGGCTGTCAATTGTGACACATCTAGCGCACCCTCTGCTAAAACCGATTTTATCCATCTGGAAGCAGAGGCACCATGATAAAGTTACTTTACAGTGACAAATAAATACTTTGACTGCACAAGACCTTTGAGCGCAAAATACGATAAAACTAAAAGTGGTTTTCAGATGAGTGGCCCCGGATGTTGTCTGTTATAATTAGTCTGCACACGCTGACCTGAGGTTAGGGCTAGAACTGTTGCTGATTTCCTCATCCGAATATCTACCGACACTACCAGTAACCTCTTTGGTTGGTTGAGAACAATCACAGTATCTATATTTCGGTTGAGATGGCCTCAGCCTGTAAATGCCCTTCGAAAACCATCTTATGCCTGTATCGTTAATAGCATTTTGGGTAAAAGAGCTCCAACAATTATATCTTGATCTCTTATCACACTGTGAGGTGAGACATTTCAAGGTAGGAAACTAGACATGTATTTCTTCCCGGCAAAGGTCCTACCGTAATCTAAACCCACAATAACATGATGGATTATAGATGCTGATTGAAGTGACAGCTTTCCAGTGACGATTTGATTCGCATGAATACCTAACTGCATTTCTGAAACGAATTTTAACAAATCCACCAATCTTAATCTACCCAGACTTTAAAAAGCCTTTCACCTTGACTACCGACGCTTCAAATGTCGCTATCGGCTCTGTTTTATCGCAAGATGGAAAACCAACTGCATTTCATTCTCGTACCTTAAATACTACCGAACGAAACTACTCTACGATCGAAAAGGAACTATTATCTATAATCGACTCTTGCAAACACTTTAGACCATATTTATTTGGAAATCAATTTACTATTGAAACTGATCATAAACCATTAGTATGGCTTTCAAACTTAAAGGAACCAAATCAACGCCTAATTCGATGGAAAGTAAAGTTAGAAGAATATGACTATAAAATCGTTTACAAAAAAGGAAATGAAAATTCTGTAGCCGACGCTTTAAGCCACGTGTTGAAATAAATATTCATCATCACGACTATTCCGAATCTATGAATCCAAATATATCCGGTACTAATTTTACGATTCAAGAAACCGATGCTAGATCGACAAATACTAGACATACTGCACCTGAATCGCACCCAAATGTTATACAAATTTGTAATGGTTAGCAATGAGCTTAGGAAATGTTTTACCTATCGGCGTCTACACTACACTTATATTTTTATACGAAATAAGTATGCATTCTGACAATATTTTCATCCAGAAGATCAACCCAATAATTAATCATTATACAAGACTCCACAAAAATATATATCACTTTTCTCCATGGTAGCAGGCAGAAAGGCATGAAACAAAGAACGCTACAATATAGAGGGTGGCCCATCCATGTGTGGACGGAATATTACTC